ACCCCGATAACAATTCAACTACTGCCCTCACCCATCACACCCTCGATCCCCAGATTGAGGGGCTCCCCTTCGGCACCTCCCATGACATCAACGACAAGCCTCCGGCTACTCAACACATGGGCCCTCAGAACAAGGAGAGCCTTCGGCATTACCGTTATTCTCCATTTTGGACGAAGGTTTCACATTTTCGATTCATCGTTGGGGGAATTCGGTGCACTTTTTTTCCCTCATTAGGATTTTTTCCCACAGGGTTTTTCCTAATGAGGTTTTTAACGAGGCATCCCCCCAAAATGAAACGAAAAGCGTCAGCCTTCGGCCCGCAACAGCAACGCAACTATTTCACTCCTTTTCACCACTTTGCAAGTGCCTCAAGGAGTGGGGGACTGGAGGACCCCTCGGGAAAAATCACAAAAATTACAAACATGACCCCTCAAGTCCCGACATGTGGGTAACTGAGGGGCTGCCCTCGGCAGAATAAACAAACAGCAAACTACCCACGACTCTACGAACTACAAACGAAAAAACGGCAGAGGACATGCACAATTACTCCTTTTCCCTCAAGTACCTTTCGACAAAAGGAGTGAGGGACTCCTGATGGAGTTATGGCCCGGGAACCCCCGGCCCACAGACTCCTACTACTCCAAACAAGGCCCAACAGACCCAGAAGGCCCAACAGGCCCAAATCACAGAGCCCAGAGTACCAAGCAACCCACAATGCGCACCAGGGGTGCCTTCGGCCCCCTGGCTGAAGGCTCTAACTCTCACAGGAGGGCCAAGATAGCGAAACAAAGTTACTGGGAAAAACGGCGAAAATCACTAGCCCTCGGCACCTGGAGACCTCGGCACCAAGGGGGTCCCCGGTACTCAGAGCCCTCGGCTAGTCCTCTACAGCCGAGGGCACCTTTCCCGACATGATATCCACGCCACATGCGTACAGATCACCGTACCCTGTACAACGTCCCATCCAACAGCCGCATTAAATGCGGCCACATGCGGTTGCCAGCGCCAACCAGTTGAGGTGACCTCTCGGCCAATGGGCGCTTGACACGTGTCCCTGTCCGGCATTTATTGCTACTATAAATAGCACCCCATTTCCCCATTTGTAACCACGCTGAAAACGCTCCACACTTTATAATATACTCTCTCTATATATTTACTCACTCTGACTTCTCCCTTATTACTCCCCGTAATTACCCCTCGGATAAGCTACCCCCCGGGTACACTATCCATCAAAACATTATTTTGGGAAAAAAACTCCAAAACTGGTGACTGCTGCCAAGCAGAGCTGCACTTCGAGTGAATGTAATGGAAGAAGACAAAACTAAACAAGCGAACAAAGTCGGCACCCTTCCATTTTTTTTGATAATCCAGGTGTCGGGGCTTACGCTCCCATAATCCTGGAGTCTATGAACTACCCTCCAAAGCCCTAGACAGTTAAATCCTGGATCTGATCACAGTCAGCCTCGTTAGTACTGGCTCCAAAGGACGAATCCAGCAGGACTTACATCACCTTTCAGGCTGCTCCTCCCACCACACGGACCCGCTACCTTCATTACCATCCTCTCCCTTCTCACCCGCTTAGTAACTTCGTGAAGGTAGGAAGAATCATTGGGAGCAAGACCTCCCTCATCTCCCCTTGGTGGGAATTGAACCCAAGACCTCCCACAAAGGAGAGACTTGGGGGTGGATGGTCATCCATTGGACTACACTCACCTTCCCAAAAGTCAGCACCCTTCCAACCACCAGCCGTGGTGGAGATTCTTAGTGATTGAGACACCTAACCTAAGAGCATCTTCAATGCTACAATGTGCACAGTGCACATGTGTCATCAAAGATAGTCACATAAATATTAACAAAAAATCATCTCTCTCCTTATTTGAATGCTTTTATACACAGTACAATTTTGGTATGTTTTTCTCGACAATGTCAAGAAGATTATCTACATGTTGACACTGTGGTTGACAATGTAGTGAAAATTTTACCAAAATTGTATAAATTTATTCAAATAAGGAGAAAGATGATTTATTTACTAATATTTATGTGGTTGTCTTTCATGCCACATGTGCATCGTGCACATCGTAACATTAGAGATGCTCTAACCCTATACCACGATTGTCTTTATTATGTAAGAAAATAATTAATAGACAATATATTTACAAATATATCCTCAAATAAATGAAGATGATACTCGAGTATATTTTGTTTTCTAATACTCCCTCCATCTCATTAAAAGGTTCTCATTTATCTTTTTCGGACGTCCCAATAAAAGTTCTCATTTCCATTTTTAGAAACAATTAACAATCTTAAGTGATAAACTAATCATTAACTATAAAAAAATACATTTATAAAATCATAATTATTAATACTAACTATATTATAATATATACCTATTAAAATTATTTCTCAAAATATACTCGAAGTACTTTATTTAATTATTGTCTAAATAACTGTGTCGTTTTGCTATAGGAACCTTTCAATGGAACGGAGGTAGTACATTTTAGATAATAATTGAATTGTTTTATAATACAAACTAGTAAAGCGGCTATACGTTTTGGCTCCAAAATTCTAACTCAAAGTAGGGATACTTTTTTTTTGCAAAAGAGAACTTAATTGATATTAAAACAGAGGACCGGATACAAGTTCGCCATAACAAAGGCTACACTGGGGTGAGACTCAGAGCTGGAATCACGCTTACTAGCGGTCCATCTCGCTAACCCCGCAATATGGTAGACTTCATTCATAGCAATGCTGCACCTGCTACTAGAATGAAACACTAAAAATATAAAAGAGTTCTGAGACGACAACAAATCAAAAGAAGAACATAATCCAGTTTTTCCAGCCATTGGCAAGGAAACAACGATTTGACCAGCCTCCGCTAAAGGATCTTCGTGTTTGTCCTCCAAATCTTCTGCTATTGGCGTGGCTTCCCAGACAGCATCACCACTTCCAAGTTTTTTGGAGTTGCTGCATCCACCTCCATGCTTGCCTGACCCCCCTCCTCACTATCCTTCTCGGTGACCCTGCATTTTTTAGGTGCTTCCTGTGTTGTAGCAATCTCCTTGTCCTTTGATAGGAGTAGTCCTTCCACCAAATAATTTTCCTGTTTGCTTATCGTTCTGCCAAAGTCAGCTCCCTCATCCCTCCTTTCTCCTAGTTTATTATTGCTAGGAATGAGCCACCTATTGCCCGGATGTGATCCACCTCGCCTCATAGCAGCCCTTAACCATGGTCCATAAGGCTTTTCCCCAATCCATGCACCACTATGTAAATTAGAGGGACAGAAGCGATCAACATGACCAAGAATCCCGCACAGGAAACAAAAATTTGGGAGTCTCTCATAGCGAAAGTTTTCCCAAATCCAATTATCTCCCTCTTGTCTTACCTGCAAGTGTTTGATCAAGGCCATATTAATATTAATAGTGACTTTGATGCGTAGCACCAACCTTTGCTTCCGCCAATAGAGCTCTCGTCCACTTGCACAAGCGATCCTATGCTGTTAGCTATTCCACGCGCTGCCCTTGCCATTACGTAGCTTAACGGTAAATTGTGAACCTGAATCCAAAAATCCGCATGATCCAGAGGAATCTCAAGAGGTCTATCGGTACGTCCCACACGTTTGATGACCACAAGATTCTGTTCAAAAGACCAAGGCCCTTCATCAACAACTCTACTCAGATCTCCTTCATGATAAAACTGTAAGAGAAATCTAGACTCCCCAATTTTATCTATTGACACTCCCTTGACTGGTCGCCAAACCATAGCCATGGTTTGACAGAAAGAAACAGCCCGAATAGGTTTGTCCGATACCACTCTAGCCACAGCCGCTAGATCCAACCCCTCTTTAGTCACAACATCATTCTCTACCGGATCAGGTGCAAGCACCAAACCCCTATTCTAGGGTTTTCATCTTCCTCATTGTCCATTTTATGATATGCGCAGAAAACAGAATTGCGATTCACGTGATTTGTTGAGTTAATATCCGAAGAATTAGGAGATCATTAATCGAAAACTGAAAAGCACCCCATTCCCTTATCATCGAACATTCTCTCAAAGTAGGGATACTTAAACAAGGTTTTTTTTGGAAGAAAGTGACTTATATTAAATAATCAGATTTCAGGCAAGATAAAAAGACACAAAGTCTATTTCCAACCTTCTGTCCTCGAATCAGACTTAGAGTCTATCACCTCCAAAAAATCAATATGACTCGCTGACGGATAGTATATCCGGGGGATACCGCTGAAGGGTATCTAGAGAGTAGTCATAACAAGTAAGAGAGAGTGTGAGTATGTATTAAATGAAGTCGTTGTGTTGTTCTTTAGTTCTTTACAATGGAAGAATTGGCTGCTATTTATAGTAGCCATAAATGCTAGGCGCAATAAATGAGGGTACACATGTCAATCAACCAGTGATGGTGGGTTAACTCAGCTTGGGTGGCGCCGACATAGCATGTGCTCGCATTCAATGCGACAGTTTGGATGTGACGTTGTATTTAATGCGGTGATTCAGCGCATGTGGAGAGGAGTTCCTGTCGAGGAGAGTGCCCTTGGCTATATGCACCCCAGGGCTGCATGTGCCGAAGGCTATGTATGATCTGGAGGCTGCCTGTGCCGAAGGCCGTACGTAATTTTGGTCTTGGTTCCCAGCAATGTTAGTGGACCCGGTGTAATTGTTTCACGAATATGTAGCCTTCGGGCATGGGGCTGAAGGCAACACCTTGTTGCAGTATGGGCAGTTTGGGCCACTTGGGCCTGTTGATCCAGATTGTAGTAGTGGAAGTATGTGAGCCGGGGGTTCTTGAAGCATATACTCCATCACTCGCTCATCATATAAGGTCCCATCAACCCGCACGACATGTTTTCCCTTATAATATTATTATACGTAGTATTACATTTTGTTTTGGGCCAGGCTAATTGATGTCATACACGGTACAAAACTGAATAGCCCAAAAAAAACTTTGAGTTAAATCCAATCGCGATTCGCGATACCTAATTAAGATTGGGCTGTGCATACGGGCCGGGGTGATGGGTGCGATTGTGCGAATGATTGCTTAGTCGCAGAAACTCCATCAGCCCATATTGTTGAATCTTTATAGCAATTCTTTAGCCGCAGACCTTCCTTTGTCCTTACCCGCCGCCGACGACTCATTACAGGTTCAATCCCCTCCATCTTTAATCTCTGGTTATGTATTTTGCGAATGATTTGTTGAACATGCTCGCAGGTAGAGTCAAGATGAGCAAAGGGATGGGCGTTGTCAAGGGAGGGAAGAAGAAGGGAGCAGCTTTCGTGATCGACTGCTCCAAGCCAGTCGAAGACAAGATCATGGACATTGCCTCACTGGAGAAGTTCCTCCAGGAGCGCATCAAGGTTGGCGGAAAGGCCGGAGCTCTCGGCGACTCCGTCACCGTCACTCGCGAGAAGACCAAGATCACCGTCACATGCGATTCCAATTTTTCCAAGAGGTATTCTCATTTCTTTCTCTATATTGAGTACAGCGGTCTCTTTGAAGTTGAATTTTGTGACGTTTAAGACATATAGTTTGGTACAAATTACTTTTTAATGCTCCGTACTTCACAAAAGGATTTTTTAGTCTCGTGATAAAAGAACTTGAGTGAGAAGATTAGGAAAGCATTTGAGAACTGGTTTGGGCTTTGTTGTTGTTGTAGTTTACGCCGGATCAACTCTTGTCCCCTAAAAATTACTTGTTAGTCAACCATTTTTGGTTTAAACTTTTCTGGTAGAATTAAGAGCAAGCGGTGTTGATTTTGGTTACTAATTTCTCTGTATTAACTAATTAAAATTTAATAACATTATGCTCTACCCAATCATTATAAAGCAATGCTATTCAGAGTAAGGTTTCCCAAAATCATTTTCTTATGTGAGAGCTTGCAGGAGTAGAACTTAGAGGAAGATCAAAACTATTAGACTAGAGCCAAAGAGTAATGAAACCCAAGCTTTTGCACTCCTTACTTGCATTGGTCCTTTTATACTACTGTTACACCATACCAGACCTCTTGATCAGATTCAGATAAGATCATAACAGCTACCGTTCAATTTTTACACCAGTCTAGTGTTGAGGTACCTTCGTCAAGCATAGTTGTCATGGTGCATGGCGCAACCCATGGCGCACAGGCCATTTTCCATGGCGATGGCGCAAATATGGCGTCGCCACGTGACAAAAAAAAATAAAACCTTCAAAACGAATAATAGATACTGCAAAACTATCATAGAAACAAAACTATCATATATATGTATGTATGTATGTATGTATTTAGATACATATTTATATATATATGTGTAGATATATATTTAAACTTAAAAAATTTCAAATATTAATCATAATGTCATTTTTCAATGGTATAAAATAATCCGCAAAACAAAAAATACAAATATGGAAAAAGGATTGAAAAAATCAGCTTGTAAATACAAGTCCTAGAAGATGTAATGGAGAGATGTAACGGAGAAAGGAAAAAAAAACGTTTTCTAAGAAGAACAAAACAAGCGTTAAAGAATACGAATGAAGAAGGCCACACTGCGACACTGAAGAAGGCGTCGCCTTGGGGAGTTGGATCTTCGCAGGTCATTATTTTTTTTAAAACTTGAGTCGCTTCTTTCAGTCTACGTCATTTCCGATTTCCGACCATTGCCTCGTTTCGGAATTCCGACTCTGTGCGTCGTATTCTTTCCCTACAGACACGAACGACGCAGATCGAAGGAGATTGACGATTCCGCGATCTAACGAGTGAACTCGTCGATCCGGCGATCTTCATTTTGTCAAAGCTGCAATTTCCGATCCAAGCTGCGATCTTGACAACCTTGCGCGGACCCATTTTGTCAAAAAAACATTCGCATCGCCATGGCGAAGGCGCAGGAGTGGCGAAGGCGCAGGAATGGCGACGCCATGTGTATACACCTCGCCACAGCCCCTTTTCATAGCGCAGAGGGTTTTTCGTGCCACATGGCGCATGGCGCGCACGCCATATTGCGCCATCGACTACTATGTCGTCAAGTATTCAATTCACTATACCTTTTGTCCAATATTAAGGGATCCCTGACCCCTGTGAAATTTAAATTTGTGATGGGATTTGGAATGGAAGAACAGAGTCAGAGACCCTTGTATTTTGTTTGCACCACATCTCCTTCGAGCCTTTCTTTTCATTTTTTATTATATTAATATCAATATAATGGGTTACTGGTTACATACACATAATAGAAATATTGCAATGTTGCAACTTGTTAAAATTTGATTGATCACCCACTGTTTGACTACTATGTAGAAATTGATATCGACTGTAACTCCAATCTCGTAGAGTGTTTAGCTTCAATATTAAAGGATATTTGTAGTGTCATTTATGCATTTTAGGGAACAAATGTACCAAGTAAATAAACTGAGGTTTATCTTTTCTTTTCCTTGTAGCCTTGTAGGTTATCTTCTTTCACCAAAAAGTTTATATGAAGTCTTGATTGTATTGTGTATTGCTTGAACAAGTACTAATTGTCTTCAGGAGTTTACTTTCTTTAAAAGCACTTCTATGTTTTTTCTGTCAAAAGAACTAAAAGTAGGTTGAGAACACACCGGACAACTTTAAGTTGGAGGGAAGTATGATTTGAACTGCTCTTCACTTTCTAGTTAAGAATGAAAAAGAATTATTTTGTTTGCCAAACACCGCCAACTTTTACCATCAAAACTTTTTATACAATTCCTAAAGCAACTCATTTCGTGCATGCATATGCAAACACAAACACAACCGTCATATTGGCTCACACATGTCTTATTGTTGACTCAATGATGGGTGCTGCAATGTAACAGGTATTTGAAATATTTGACAAAGAAGTACCTAAAGAAGAACAATGTGCGTGACTGGCTCCGTGTAATTTCTTCAAACAAGGATAAAAATGTCTATGAGCTGAGGTACTTCAACATTGCTGAGAATGAAGCTGAGGATGAAGATTAAGTGCGTTAATAATCTTTACCTTCTTCCTTACCTTATGGATTTTGAACCTTGTAGTTTTGGACGCCTTGATTTTGTTATTATTGTAGTACTTGTATTTGAACATCTTTCATAGTTTCACAATTACCCATTTGTGTTTTAACAGGTTTCACTTGGACGCAATGTTTTATATATGTCTAATATTAATTAACCGATAATTCTATTACGGAGTTCTTTTTTTTTATAACTGGCTTGATATCATCATATCAATAGAGGTAAACTGATATTTTTGGTCAATTTTAAATACAACAAACATAACAAAATTGCTAATTTGCTATATATCAACAAACACTTTATATATCAACAGTATTCACACATTTACATTGACCATGATTTTATATTAATATATGTAATAAAATTGTGATGTATTCCATTTTAGTCTATAGCTGATACGTAGAAGCCCACACACGTGATAAATAAATATTAACACCAGTTACAAGCTAAATACATAAGTAGAAATTAAAAAATTTCGGTGGTTCAAACACGTTGAGGCACGTAAGTGGGTAAATCAACATATGGCAGTTTCTATTACATCATTGGCAACCCACTAGGCACATTCATAACTTCACGGTCTGCATACACTACTTGTTGCTCCTTGAATATCCGCTTTATCATCAAATCTAATTACTTTTGGGTTAGAGTACTTTCAGAAGGTAACTGCTTCAAAAAAAAATCAAATCCAGGTATTCCTTTTTTGTCCGTGAAATCGTGAATGTTAATATTATGATTGAGAAGATGTTCCACAAGTGAATGTTCAAGTGCCTGACAAGTATAGGATAAATTGGGCTTTGAGGCTTCACAACCTTATTAGAACATATACCAACCTTATGAAGATACATAAGGAGTATCAAATTTTACCATACAACATAAAACACATACCATTATGAATCCCAACCTTATTAGAAATATAACAGTTTGAATCAAATAGAAAAGGAGTATCAAATTTTAGAGAACAAACAAACCAAATATAGTTGCAATCTTCATTAAGCTTTGAGGTGTACTATATATATATATATATATATATATATATATATATATATATATATATATATATATATATATATATATATATATATATATATATATATATATATATATCCAACTTTACTTTGTATGACACTATGACTTCAAAAATATGATCACATACTTGGCTGTTTATATAGAGTAATAGAATAATGATAACTTTATCCATAAAATAATTACAAAACTATAAATCCTTTAAAAGATTAGTCTACTTAAAAATCCAGATTAAATGAGAACTTCAGTTTACTGTGCTACACTTCCTTTGTGCCCCATTCTTATGTGTACTTCATATCCTGCATCAAATAAGTATAAGTTATATTCGAAAATAACATGCCAACTATAAGGGTATAAATAAATACTCAAAGCATAGTTCATTACTTTAGAACAATGGTTTGTATTCTTATTATTTATGTTAATCACAGCTACCACTAGAATAGATTTAAATGTATGTTTATAGCGTTCAGATTATAGGATATATTGTATCTTTATGTAGAATGTATTTTTTACATTTTTCATTTTGTCGTTTGTTTTCGTTCATTATAGAGAACATTGAAAGCCATAAAGACCACATTTTGTTGGGTGATATGCATGCATTGATGTAATTATAATGACAATGCAAACAAAAAGTACACAATTCTATATGTTTTTAAGTAAATATATATTCTCATCAGGATGTTGTGTGCTTCCAACCACATCACAAATGATTACTCATTAGTCTTTCCCAACAACAAACAGAAAGATTGTTCAAATTTTAGACAAAGAATCTGTAATTAAAACTCAATAAGTGTTTAGCAGAGTCTAAAGTAACTAATTTTAAAAAGAAGGTATACAGTCAACAATCTGAAATTCCAATTGGTGCACAAATTGTTTCCTCAATCGCATCATATATACACCGCAATTGTCCAAAGTTGGAGCAATAACGGAAGGAAAATAAACACAAACATATAGCTAATTGAAAAAAGCTCAATTGATTGGAAGTATTTGAGTCACTGCTTGGAGCGGTGGCTGGACACACGACATGAGGAAATATACAGTGTACATATATAGCTGAGGGAGATATAAAGCGTACCTCATGAACTGATGCAGCGATGGAGATGAAGAGATGGTATTCCTGAGAGATGGAACTGATCGATCAATTAGCAAATATTACAATTAACAGCAAAGGAACTGAGAAGAGAACAAATGATGTTTTGGATACATCCGAAAGGATAAAAGTGAGCGGATGATAGGAACTAAGGAGATCGACGAAGTGTACAGATAGTTGAGGAGCGAAGCGGTGTACATACATGATGCATACACGCGAACATATGGTTATTCTAGATTTGTATATGTGGAGTGTGGACTACCAATACTTTTTAATTGGGCCGAACTGAAATTAAATTGGGCTTATTCTTAATAATAGAATTAAATATACTACGTATTAATGATTAAGAAACTAAAATTTAATTAGATTGAATTAAGTAAAGTTCAACCAAATAAATTAATAAATTTAAATTTAACCTGAAAGTAAACTTTACATAGACAAATAGAAATATAAATTTTCAATTAAATTATTAAACTGTTTGTTAATTCATCAAAAATCCTTTGTTAGATACATCTTCAATTTTATATATAGCATAAAATATTAGTTTTAATGTTTTATTTTTATTTAAATATGCTTTCTCCGTTCTTTTTTTGTTGCAATAGTATCATTTTCACATTTGCCAACACATAAGTTTGAATTGTAATATATTTAATTCTCTATTAATGAAAAAGTATTTGTAATATTTCAAAAATTTGAGTTTAAAAGTATTAGGTTTTTAAAACTTAAAATGAGTATAATTTAATAAAAACATAAAATAATAAATTTCTAATTCACCCAAAAATAAAACACAATCAAAGTAGATATATGACCAGTATAAAATTTAACATGTTGAAAAGTTTCAAGTCAACTTTTGTCCCGTGCATCGCACGGGTACAATACTAGTATTATTAAATTTCTATTACTATGAATTTCCATAATATTAACTTTTTATAATGTTTACTAAAACATTATTAAATATAATTCAATCAAAATTGTGTGTTAGCTAACGTGAAAATCAAATTGTTGCAATTAAAAAATACGGAGTAATATAAGTAGTATTATATCTCAATAATCACGAACTTTTATCTGAACTTGTACTGGAAGTTAATGTCATATTGTTGAACACTTGATTTTGCTCGCAAATAAAATGAATAGATTCATCGATAATCTCATAAAATGGTTTTTTTTACTCCAGGTGGCGTCTGGGGAGTCTGGAGTAATCGGGGCTGAAACTCAGCCCATTAAGTTTCGAACCTGAGATCTCCCATAAGGGAGAGTGAGTCGACGACTAACTAGCCTTTTACTTGCATCTTGAAATTGTAGTTTAAGCAAAATCAAGCGTGGTGTTGGATCTGGTTCCGTGCCTCTTGACATGAGACAAGAATTTGATTTTTTGGGATAAAGTTTGGTTTGGATTTCAAATAGATTCTGTTTCGTTTTTATCCCTAATTAAGAAATGGCAAAGAGTGGAATTGAATGGTTCTTCCGGTCTAAATGGGTAAGAACTAGATTCGTACCCAGGTTGGATGGATTGTGATCCATCTCAAAATTTCGATACAAAAATTCTTAGTCTAAATGTGTAGGAACTAGATTCGTACCCAAAATTTAATACAAAAATTCTTAGTTGTACATAAGTTGTACATGGTATATCACACTTTCTCGCTTCCCTTCTCTCTCTTTTCTCTCTCCCTTCGCTCTCCTCCCCTCTCTCTTCTCCATTTCCTCTTTACCCAATCCATTCAAAAATTCTCAAAAAAATATGGGATGATCATCTTCTCTTCTTCATCATTCTCTTCCCTTCTTTGTCCTCGTTTTCTCTACCTTTTTATATTAAAATGTTTCCATTATTTGCCCAAAATCAGTTTATTAATCTTATTTTATCTTCTTTTTTTAATCTTATTTCATCTATTTTTACTATTTTTCTATTTGTTTTCAAATTACATGTAAATTGATTACACATACAACTACATATCATTCATTTGGATGTATATAGATAATTAAATTTTTTGTTCACCCGGACAATTTAAATTGATCAGACCGACAACTAAAGTTGATCACACAGATAACTACTCTATGAGCCGCATGATTATTGTCTGTGTGGTAAATACTGTCTGTGCACACAGACAAATAATTGTCTGTGCAATCGGAAAATATTGTATGTGCACACAGGCACTGCACAGATATAGATTGATTTGTAAGCTGGTGTCAATGTCAGGCAGCTGTCAATATACTTTTTTACACAAAAATTAATGTTTGTAGACACAAATAAAAGTTGTCTATGTACATATACAACTCTTATTTGTGCTCACAGACAACTTTGTATTAATTGTTCGTAGGGGTGGTTCGGTACGGTATACCGAATATTTTCTCTCATACCTTTACCGTACCAAAACTTTCGGTATGCAAAATTTATATCCCGTTACCTTACCGAAGTTTCGGTATACCTCATTTCGGTATACCAAAGTTTCGGTTCGGTAACGGTACGGTATCGGTAAATTACCAGTCATGTCTCCCAATACAACAAATTATCATAGACTAACGAAATATGCTAAATCGGTGTTACTAGTGACATATTTATTTCATTATTAAAATTTTACAAATATAATTAATAATCTATTGATGTCATACTCAATATTGAACAATAATTATTATTAATATATTTAAGCAGTTCAACATGCCACGTATTAAAAAACAACATATTCTCCTAAAATAACTTGAACGATATAGATATAATTAAATCAATAGTGATCTCTAACAATAATAAATAAAATTATTCAAACAACACGGATATAAATCATTTATTCCTAATACTACCTCTGTCCCAAAATGTTTAGCAAAATCTCAAAATTTGGACCATTGTTTTGATTAGTATAATATTATGAAAGTTATAAATTTTATACTTTTATGAAAATCCTTTTAACAAAGAACATTTTCATATAATTCTTATATTATAAACAATTTCCAATAAATATATATTAATCATCAAAGTTTTGGATTTGACTAATCAATTTGGGATGGAGGTAGTATGATATTGTGCATTTAGTCATTTTTATATTTTTTTAAAAAAATGAATAAGACTTTCGGACAAAGTTGTGTGTCTCAACTCGTGGAATCCCTATGTAGATACACCTGTCACATAAGTGTACCTCTCTTCACTCATCAGCTACTCAGCGACTCAGTCATCGCAACTCGCAAGCTCTTGCAACTAGATGAACTTGTTTTTGGACATTAGTACATTACTAATTAGTCATTGGAGATTTGTAACCAATGTAAGTATTAATTTTGGGCTTCATAATTGTAATGGAGTTTTACGATACTCTAGAATTAAAAGTAATAATTGTTGGGTAGGGAGTCGGTACGGTATTATACCGGTATACCGCGGTATTTGAAAACATTTACCGTTACCGTACCGAAATACATCGGTACGGTATGATACCGTACCGAAAATGACGATATACCAATATTCCGGTATTTTTCGGCACGGTAAGTACGGTATACCGACTTTCCGGTATTTTTGCCCACACCTAATTGTTCGTGTGGCGGACATTTTAGCATTTTTGAATTTAATTTACGGTTTGGCTTCTGTCATTGATGAGACAGAATTTGAACCCATGAAATGCATCTTGTTGCAAACAACAAGGTTCACATCCCTCCTCGCCCCCGGCCAGCATGCCCAAAAGAGCTCCTTGGTAAACTGATCTTTTCCGGCTCATGGACCTCATATAGTCATTCTATGTTGAATTCTCATTGAAGTAGAACATTATGCATTGTATATTAAAAAAATGAATATATTCTTGTGTAGTTTGTTAAATAAAATTATACCCATTTCAGTTGTTACCAAAACACGTTACATTTGTAAATACTTATGAATGTAACTTCTTGCTTTTATACAAATATAGTGCGTTTGAGAGTAAAATAATGAAGGATAAAATTTATATTACTTTTAGAGTAATTATGGATAATTATTCGACATTCTGTAATTTGGACAAGAAATAATTCTTTTATATTTTTATGATTATATTGATGCAGAGTTAGGGATGGACCCAACCCGACACGCCTTTGGGGGAGCCCGACCCGCCTCGGTGACCGAGCCCGGACCCGGGTAAAAATATCCAACCCGTGGACATTTCAGACAGACCCCGGTTCTTGTTTTTTAGTGATCGGCCCATCCAGACCGGGCCCGGGCCGGGCCTAACGGTCATTTGTTTAAAAAAAATTAAAAATAATTCAGGCTCCAACATAGCAGTTGGAGACTTGGAGCCTATGGGGACAGTGTGGAAGTGGCTATATGGCCGTTGGATTTTGGTAGTGGAAACCGATAATGATTCCAAAATTAGGAGCGAAGCAAAATCTTTAGCAGAAAATGATCTTGGTAATTTTGAATTCATTGTGGCAGTAGTTATTTGGTATGAAATTTTATATGCTGTTAATTTAGTTAGCAAGGATGTGCAAAAAATTGACATGCTTCTTGATGTTGCTATTGAAAAATTAAAGGGGTTGATTTCTTATTTTGAAAACTATAGAGAAACTGGTTTCTCAAGTGCCTTAGAAATTGCATCGAACATTTGTATCGAATTAAACATTGTCGCGGTATTTCCTTAAAAGCGACAAATTCAAAGAAAAAGGCAATTTGATGAGAATGCAGATGATGAGTGTTCTAGTGTTTCCCAATCTGCACAAGAGTCGTTTAGAGTTAATTATTTCTTATGCATTGTTGATCAGGCAATAACATCACTTACCACAAGATTTGAACAATATCAACAATATGAGAATATTTTTGGGTTTTTATTTACCTCCGAAAGGTTGCGTTTATTAGATGATAACAATTTGAAATCTTGTTGTAGTTGTCTTGAAGCATCACTTAAAAAGGATGAACAATCAGATATTGATGGAAATGAATTATATGTAGAATTAAAGTTACTTAAAGACTTTTTGACAATAGAGAATATGGGGCCTGTTGATATCTTGAAATTTTTAAAACGTCTTGATTGCTTTCCTAATGCGGTTATTGCGTATAGAGTTCTGATGACTATTCCCATTACTGTTGCAACTGCAGAGTGAAGCTTTTCAAAATTGAAGGCGTTAAAGACTTACATGCGGTCAACAATGACACAAGAAAGACTTAACAGATTGACTTTAGTGGCAATTGAGAGCGACATATTGGAGAAGATTGCATATGAAGACCTTATCGATGACTTTATTTCAAAGAATCTTAGAAGGATAGCATTATTTAAATAAATGTAGTTTAATTTCAAAATATTGGATGTGATTTTGATGCTCTTGGTGTATTAGTCAAAGAAGAATTGCATTTTAGTATGTAGTATAATTATAAAATATGATATTACTTTTTTATTTTATTATTAGTATTTTTTGTATTAAATATTAGGGCCTCCGATTTTTCTTTTGAACAGGGCCTCTCATTTGTCAGGACGGGGCCTGTCTTTTTGGCATCAATATCATGGTTTGATTCATGTTAGGCAACTCCATTATGAGCCTACCCTTTTCTATGGCAGCTAAGAGGCAATAGGAGAAACTGGAGGAGGTTATACGGTCGGCGGCAAGCTGACTCTGCAACGACGACTCTCCTCTGCCTAGTCCCAAGATTCCGGTCACCGGGAAGAATAACCCTTTGCTTCTGCGACTGCCATGGGGGACGATATTTTCGCAGAAAGCTTGACAAGACCACGGTAAAAGGAAGCAAACGTCCTGGGTTGCCTGGAATCGAAAATGGGGTCTATGATTGTAGCAACTCTTGTAAGGCTTGCACTGAATCGAGAATCGTGAGTCATGGTGTTGGTGTCGGTAAGGTCGTAAGGATAATCCTTTTCACTACATCGTCTTAGATTGCTCCGCTCCTCCCCATTGTTCAGCCACCAGCAACGGCAGGAAGACCACAGAGACAGGAGAGAAAGGAACAAATCAAGAAGGATTCCAAAAAACAGTTCATCTTCAGGGAGGGGAGAAAGAAGAAAGGAGGTGGGGCAGGGCCGCAGGGGAATAAAGAAGCAGAGGTGTGGGGTGGAGATAAAAGGGAGAGGGAAAATAGAATGAAAAAGAAAAGGAAAAACAAAAGAAAATATTGACATCTGGATTGCCACATCAGCAAAGTGACTGGATAATCCAGGCCTTAACTTGTTAAATTATACATTTGACTATTTGTATAAAATTCTTGAGCTTAATTGGGTGTTTTTTTAGTTTGAGAGCTTAATTGACTTTTTTATGTACTACAAGTCTACAACAGTCTATTTGACAGTTTTCCCAAAGTAAAAGTGGTAAAACGATTAATCTGTGTTAGTTGGGACTTTGAAGTAAACAATACCCATGCGTCAAAAGATTGAAATATATCTCTACAAGTGTACAACTCTCTCCCTTCAATTCGAAATACAAAATCCTTTTATAACAATGGCAGCAAAACACACCCAGATACCCAATTGGCAGGAACTACATCCAAGTTGATAGTGAGACTGCACTAAAAGGATCAATTAAATTTTCAAATGACACAAGCAAACAAACTATTAAGGCAAATCACTTAGGAGTAAAGGTAGAATGCAATGCTTTTGTCATCTGACACACTAGCAAGCATACAAGACCCCCGGTCGGTTTTCCCAGATGGTCCAAAAGCCACCGCCCACACCTGGTCCGAGTGAGTCGTCATTATTTGAGAAGCCGCTCTCATCTTGAGATCCCACAATCGAACCGACTTGTCACTTGACCCAGTCGCAATGGCTCCCCCATCAGGAGAAACATCAACGCTCAGAACCCAACTTGAATGACCAGATAAAGGCATGATTAAAGCCTTACCCTGCGCATCATACACGTGAACGTGCCCGTCATCAGAGGCAGAGAACAGCATCCGGGAGTCATGAAGGGAGGGTGAGAAGACAAGGGAGCGGACCGGCATGCAATGTCCCTCCAAGAAGTGTAGGAATTTTGCGCGTGAGACGTCAAAAACTGATATTGTTCCGTCCATTGAACCACAGGCTATCAGTCTGCCGTCAGGGCTCCAGGCTACGGAGAGGACAAATTTCTTTGTGCTGCTTTTTTCAGCAGTTTGAGGCTTTGACACTTCTGAACGAGGGATGGATAGGTCAAAGATATGCTGCCAGTTAGTGGTGTCCCATAGTTTTATTGATAAACTGCCACCTCCAGCTGCAGCCAGAGCACTGCCCTGAGAGAGATCATTTTTAATGATGATATAAGCTCACAATTATCAATTGCATCATGGTGGAACAAAAGCCTGAAGCATAAACATACAGATATAAAAAAAAACATTAAGATCATGTTAATACACATATACCAAACCACTCTTCAGAATTTAGAACAGTCACAGCAGGATTAGAAACTAACACAGATTGTTTTCCTTCCCTGGGTTGTCTCAAGTGAAAGAAATTGGTGTAGCATGTGATCCATGTGAAGGTGTTTTCGGAGGTACTGGTTTACCATTTCTCATGCAATCAATAGCGTAGCTTATTCATTCTTTTTTGACCCAGAATTTGTTCAAGATTGAACCTTAATTCTATACTATGGAGATATTCCATATGGTCCATTAGATTTATACATTAGCTCAGACGCCAGAAAGGAAAAAAAAAAGAACATGGAACTGCATTGCAAGTAAAACAGAGCCAAAATTCCGCATAAATGGTTTCTGAATTACCTGCTATCTCAAATTATTATACATGCATTCTATCTCCTTTGTTACAAAATTATATTAAAGTGCTGGTTTGACAAACTTATATTGTTAGAAAATTATATGCTAGAGGGCTACTCCATCCATTCCAAAAGAATATCATGTTTGGTGAAGGTACAACTGTACAACTTTTAAACTTTTATCAAGTACAGCTGTGTAATGTCATGAAAGCCTACACATATTTAGAAGTTTATTTTTTGCTTAACTAGACTGATAATATTGGACATGTTTGTGACTTTGCATATTGCATGAAAGTCAAACTGTTGCAATTTTTAAAGAACAGTGGATAGTATATGCTATTTAAGCAAATAGTAACAAGTTTCTACAAAAATTAAATGATCTAACTACTAATTACTGAATTCTAGGCATTACAGTAATAAACATTCAAGTTTGTCCTATATTATTAGAGTAAAATTGTTAAAAAAAATATAATATGCTTTGATTGGACTATTGGAGGGCTACTGCCTACTTATATTTTTTGATAAACTGTTAATAGTGTTTAAATAATTATAAGTAATTTTTGTAATAAACTATTATATAAAAAATGTCTGATATAAAAGAACATTCCGCTAGTATTGGACAATTGGAGGGCTACTGCCGTATTACTGGACTCTAGGCATTACAGTAACAAACATTCAAGTTTGTCTTATAATCTTAGAGTAAAATTGTAAAAAAAAATACAATATGCTTTGATTGGACTATGGGAGGGCTACTGCCTAGCAATATTTTTTGCTAAATTGTTAAATAAAATGTTAATACTAATCTTTTGATAAACTGGTAAATAGTGATTTAAATAATTAATAATAATATTTGTAATATACTATTGTATAAATATTGGTACTAATAAAAAAATCTTATATGTTTGTTAATAAAAACAATTTGCTACAATTGGAGGACTACTTAGGTATAAAACAGGTTAACTTACATTATTTTATAAATTTAAAAAATGAGATAAAAGAGAACATTGTTGAGAGCAGAAAAATAAAAATCAACGGGGTAAACCGTTGCCCAGATAATCAACGATAAAAACCGTTGCCTAGAGCCAAAAGGCTGAAATTCAACTTTATTCCAAGATAACCAAGAATGAACCCTCGCAAGGGGTATAAATAGCCTTCTAGTGAGAGACTCAACAGAAACCCTAATCGAACCCAAATTAACTCTACTAACTACTCTACTAATAATAGGCCCAAACTAGCAAACTTAACATAAACTTTATAATAATAAACAAAACTATAATCCTAGCCCACAGCCAGCCCACGGAAGTGGGCCCAAGCCTGTTCCCGCCCCTTGCTCTCCCTGCTCTCTATCAAACATAGAGTAGAAGAGAATAAAAATACGTACCTGTGAGGCTGCGATCGAGACAGTCAGACAGAGTGGAAGAATAAAAGAAGAAATTGGAACTCAAAAGCAAAGCAACGCAGAAGGCAGAAGGGAGAAGACTAGAGAGACTTAGAGCCCGTTTGGTAACCCCTTTTTTCGGCTTATCAGGCTTATCAGCCAGCTTTTTCACCAAACACGTAACTTTTGATTTCGCACGTTGAAGTTTGTAATAAGCAGAAAAAGTAAGGTTGGAGTTACTTTTCTGGCTGTATTGGCTGAAGTTACTGTAGAGAATCATTTTAGCTATTTTTTCATATAATTTTTTATTTAACTTATTAATAACAAATATTTTAAATATTTTTTTTTCATGAATCAGCAGAATCAGCCAATACAACCACTTAAGCCAGAACTTCAAAAATTTCAGCAGAATCAGCCAATTCAGCCAATTTTAGTGTTACCAAACGGGCTCTTAGAGTTTAATGGAGTGAAGGACCTTACCTTCTTAATATATAAGACCTACGAAAATTCTAGAAGCAGAAACTAAATCGCCAATAGACTTGGAACTTGCATCACCAAAAGTCCATGAGGTGTGAGAAGCGGCTGCCTCTCAGATGCGCAAATGGCGGCAAAAGGCATCGTCAGTCTGACGTCAGAGGCGCGCCTCTTGGAATCTACCACGCCTGGGGGTTTGAGATGCGATAAACAAATCGCCTTAGGTTTCCCCGCACCTTTGAAGCACGCTTTTTTAAACCGAGTTTGGCAAGGCTTGACCTAGTGGCTAGGACATGAAAGCCTATTTGGAGAGGTATTTTACTTAGTTTTTCATTTCATTGGGCGGTCATAAATATGTTAAAGGAATGAAAGTCAAACAAAATTGATGCATATTTTGAATAAACTTTCTAGCTCTCCTAAGATTAGAGAATTAAAGCAATTTTAAAACTGACCTTTCCCTACATGTGAATCTGTCAACCCGCACACCTCTTGTTCCTATCTCTTCTCTCTCGTACTCATTTCCATCATTTCAAATAGAACCAAAGACTCACTATTTTTTGTCTTTGTAATATGATGGAATAAAGCAAAATATCTAACTGAACTGTCTGTGCTTCTTTGTTTTGAAGGAATAGTCAGCCCATGCAATTTTTGACGTGATTTTCTTTATGGGTCATCCGAAAACAATCTCTCTATGCCATATGATGGAATAAGTCTGTATACATTTGACCCCCTACCCCACTGTAGGTGGAAGACTTTGCAGCATTGGGTAATGTTATTGTTGTTCTCTCTCGTACTCTCATTCTACCTATTTTTCCAAACATAATCCCATTATTAGAAATCATTTTTCTAAGAGATCTTATTAATGCTCTAAAAGAAAAATTGCCCCACTCTTCTCATGAGAGAGAGAGATGCAGTGCTCTGATTTCATTATACATGTTACAGCTCAAACCTCACCCAAAAGAGGGAAAACTAAGACAAAATTGATGGTAATAATATGAGCAAGACCAATATCTTAAATCCATAAGAATGTAAACTTTCTTATTTTATTTTTCAATAATCACTTATTATTACTTGTCAGAATCTGAAAATCCAGACCCAGTAGTCCAATTTTCATATGCAGCGATCTTAAATAACTTTGATGGTTGTGTCCAGCACTCTAGAAAATGTTTGACAATAATAAGATGACATAGGACATGGGTTTGGTTCTGTGAAGTACAAAAACAACCAGAATTATATGCTTGTAACTATGATTAAAATGATGCAATTACTAAGCACATACACTCGATCAAACTCACGAAATAGCATAGATACTTCTTATTAGAAAGGCCATCCCAATATATCCGGAATGAAAAATTTCCTAATAGAAGTATCGCCAAACTTTTAGTATCATATCTACATTACAGATTTCATAAGTTCGTACTAAAATGAAGTATCAACAAACCAGCTCAAGTCCTGTTTCATCAGCAGAGGTCTTCTTTTATTTAACGTAATCAAGTAAATGTACAAACATAAATCGAAACAGTGAAAACTGAAAAGTTTCCTATCACACATACCTCTGGATTGAATGATAATTGCCAGACTTCAGACGGGGGAGCCTCAAGAGTGGCAATGGTTACGTTAGAATCAACATCAAAGACACGAACAAAGCTATCTATAGATGCTGAGGCAGCGATCCTGCGGGTGGGGTGGGCAGCCACGGAAACGACGCCAAGGCAATGGCCAGTGTTGGTTCGTACACGAGTGAACTTGTCTGAGTCCCAGAGTCGCACTGTCTCGTCCAGTCCGCCGGTGAGGAGAAGTGGCGGAGCTCCGTCGTTGGGGCGGACCCACGTCGCCGCCCATATGGAGTCGTCGTGAGCGTTCTGGATGCTATCGAGCGAGGCCAATTTCATGTTGATTCTGTTGCTTATTTGTTGCTTGAACCCTAGCAGGGATGATGATCTTGAAGTATATCTGAAGAACCTTAGCAGATTGATGTTTTATTTTAAGGAAATCAGCAATTTCAGCCTTTATGGGCCGTGGGGTGATGCATAATTGTGGGCTGAGATTAGGGTCCAAGCTCCATTTTTGTGTGTGATCCACTTCAGCTTTTTGGATGTTCTTAAAATTGGTTCATACTTCTTTTTTACAATAAAAATTAAATTCACTTCATTAATAATCATTAATAATAATATGAAGGGTAGCTACATAAAATGCTCTTTTATTTGTTTAATGTTTCCCTTTTTAGTTTTTCAATACAAACATTAAATAGTACGAAGTAACACTTTATGTAAAAAAAAAATTGAACCAAACTTGATGTAATTGAAATACAATCCTAATTACAATTTATACAAATATTTTGATTAGCCTAACTAGTATATCACCCGTGCGTTGCACGAGATGTAATATTCGAAATTATACACCTATGTAAATTGGTAGATTTGGCGATGGATCATATTTGGAGTCAAGACATAGCTCATACCTATGTTTTTCATTATTATTATTATTATTATTATTATTATTATTATTATTATTATTAGTTAAATATATCATCAACTACCATCAAATTCACAAATCTATCTCATACTTTCACTTTAATTAAAAAAAGACTAAAACTTCAACTTTTCTCAGAATTACACTTTATGTGGATGAATTAGTAAAACGAAAAAATCATATTTATATTTCATATTTTTTTCATTTCTTTTAGTTTTAAGTTTACGAACTTGTATTGCTTTATCTTATTGGTATTGATACAAATGTGTAATTTTGAAGAAAAAAACATAAAAGAAAAGCATTATTGTTAAAAGAGATAAAGTTTGAGTTTTTTTTATAAAAGTGAAAGAATGTGATAAATTTGTGAATTTAATGATAAAATAAGCTAATAATCTTTCTGTTTACCCTGATTTGAACGCGGGCCCGTTATTAATTTTTATAAATGATTCATGTATGGTACATGTGATTCAAACATGTTTACCACCTACCTATACGGCTTTCAGTTTTTTTTTTTAATTTAAAAAAAATGTACTTTTATTTGTATATGTTTATATAAGGATTTTATTCAATGCGAAAATATAAGTTTACTCTCAATCAAATACTCGAAAAATAAATGTCAATTTAAGTCCATAGATAGATAATGGTTGCCTGCTATAAATTTAGAAGTATGTTTGATGTCATAAAATCTTATGTATTACTTAACAATAAACTTGTATCCATTTCATTTATATCAAGTCGTTTATAACAAGGGAAACTACATATTTTGAAATTTAACAAAAAATGTATCTCGATACAAAGCAAGCCACAATTCCATAACACTACATTTCAAAGTGCTACACTTTATCCTGTCCTAATTAGCTGGGGAAAGAATCATTAGAGAAGATGGTTAATACAGAATGACTTAAGTTGTTCCTTGGTAAGTTAATGTTTTGATCCACTTGCAACTCTCAATACCTACAATGGATGGTAAAGATAGAATGAACACAGAAGGGTGATACTATTAATAACAAATATAATCTTGATAGATTTAATATGAGTCATCTAGCTACTATCTTGACAAAAGATTCATCAATCTTAAAAGAATTAACATGAATCATATATCTAGATGATGTGATTACCATATTTTGGTGTGTAAAGAGTAAGTGAGAACATTCTTGCAAGTAAAATAACCTTTCTAGTCATTGAATAGTTTAAGTGAAACAAGTACCAAACAAATGAGATTGGTTACAACCACAAGTAGAGCATACTTTAAGGGTACTAATGCTTTGAAATTATCATTTGTGGTTGGGGATTTGCCTATATGAAAAGTTACATGTAGCAACATGAACATATCATCTGTATGAGACAACAAACCAAGAGCAAAAAGAAAAAAAATCAATTTACAAATGTTCAACGCCAAAAAAAATGACAATCACATAAATAGACCAAGAATCATATAAATGTTTAGAAAAAGAAGTGTAAAATCTTTTACTTTTCAACCCCATAAAAAGTTACTAACTATAAGAGATTATAGTGAAATTAATTAGTATATTTAAACCAAGGGCAAAAATAAGTACATCCATCCATTTTACTATACTAATCCTCAACTCCTACAATTTGATCACTCAGTGTTGGTGTTTTTCAATTTTGCACCTTTAGATGCGTTTTGTAATCAAACTTTGGAAATATAGAAAATGGGAACAATAGCTTTAAAAGATGGGAATACAAATTTTGGTATTCTTAGAGGGACAAAAAACAATAAATATTAATGAATTTTACATCAAATCCGGAAGAGGAAATAACATTTAAAGAAGGTGAGATTACACAAATTCCTTCCTCTCCCTTGTTCTAGGAAAAACAAATACAAATCATTACTTGATTTACCTCGATTTCACTCTCTGGTAGAGGTGAAACTGTTAAATATTTTCATTTTCACATCCTAAACCATTATTAAATCATATTAATGGTTTAAATAAACAGAGAGGATCTCTCAATTAAATTTTTAGAATCCAATTTTGTTTCATCGTCATATTGGGCATGTTTCACTTTACTCATTATCTTCAATTAAATCCTAGAATGTTATTCTGAACAATTAATTAATTCCAAATGAAGTAAAAATGTAAGAAATTTGACAAAATTGATTAGTAACAGAACCTGCCACAGTCAAATCCATTATTTTCATTAAAACAAAATATCCAAAACCAGTGAGATCATTCAAATTAATACGCGATCTAAACACCACTTTAAGAAATACCTTAAAAGCAGATCTAGCCTTTTTCTTCCAATGTGTAGCATGAAACTTACCTCTTGAGTCAGCAACAAAAATGTATCTGCTTTGTCTCTCACATTTGGAGCAAATCTTAAGTAAAGTAGAAAACGCATATGAGAGAGAATATTTCAGCAAGCTTTGACCAGAGAAAGGACTATATCTTTACTTAGCTCTAAGCTTTTAAAACATACATCATATAGTGAAGAAAGAAAACATATGGGCAAACAACCTTCGAAAAATCTCATTAATAACGAATGAGTTCTCGTGATACAGTTGGTTATTTTAATACAATGAATTCCTTCCCCGGCTGCAATGTGTATATTGCATTATGAAATCCGTAGCTAATCCTTTTATGCCCGGTGGTGAATAAAAAAGAAGTAAGAAATTTATTATGACAATCAAATGAATTTTGTCAACTAACCAAAGGTAAAAATTCATTTTGACATTCAAATGAAATGTGGCAAGTAATAGGAGTATAATGTAAAGATAACATGTCTTAATATTATCATAATAGGACTATAGCGCCCGATACAGCTGCTATAGTCCTGTAAATTATAGCATTAAATTGACATGTCTTGAGCCTCATTCTCATAATAGGACTATAATGCTTATTATAATAAAAATTCCTGCTAAATTATACTCCATATATGCTTATAATTGTAACTCATTCTCTTGTGTGACAAACTAAAAAGAAAACACATAGCGTAAAAAATGGAGACTTATAATGGATTAGGTATGGAGATGGAGATCAGAGAAGGTTAGACAATCAAGGGCACATTTGTGTTACCTTTTGACTCCTATAGTTATTTAGGAAAAGCTGGAGTGTTGAACATGTAACAGTCACAAATTTAAATAAACAAAGAATGATTAGATCTAGGAAAAATGACTATAACATATTCTAATAGAAGCCAGAACAGAAGTATATTTCCACAATCTTGCAATCGGAAAATGATCATTGCAATAAACCCTTAGATGAATGAAATAGAAATTAAATCGATCGAATTAAAAAAGAACTGCATCAATCATATTTAAGTTTGCTGGAACATCAATCGATAGAAATTGAGATGTCTTTCCTAAATTTATGTGAAGTCGAGAGAAATGCAGGGAAAGAATAGGTAGCCACAGTTGGAGATGAAATCTGGAGATATTTTCAATAGTTTCTGTCGCTAGAAAAAGACAATGGAGATTTACCTGGATGGAGATGGCGGAAAATGGAAAGGGAATTTCGACATGCAATTCTACTGGTTTTCTCTATTTATCAGAGGGAAAATCTACTATATAAAGTATATAATAGTCTATTATGCAGTAGAATATTCAAAATTTTAGTTCAATAGTGAAATTGATTTATATGAAATTTTAATTAAGCAATGTGAACTCTTATATAATAATTTCCATATTTTAAGCTACACAAATATACACAACTCAAAGTGGAAAAATCTTGAGGGATTATAACATACACATTCCAAACAAAGTATTGGTTCAAGTTCAATCTCAACATTTTAAAGTAAAATGTAGGAATGAAATAAATCAAGGAAAACAAAGAACTAGATATAGGCATTTCTATGAAACGTGATATGATAAGTTTCTCAAGACATGATATGTCAACTTGTTTCTTAATAATTGGCTAGTGCATGATGACATAACAGTTCATCTTGATATAGAGCTGATGAAATCTCCTCACCTGAGAACTCGTGCTTTCTTTCTCTTATTGTGTTCATCGAAGATGATGATGTACTGCATGTTCATCAGAGTCGCTTTGATCCCCTATTCCCACAGCAGATGTACACCCATAAGGTTGTGAATCTGAAATAAATTAGCGAGAAGATGAATAATTAAATTGGTGGCCTGTGTTTATAACTACATAATAAAATCTTTTGGAAAAAAACTTTGTTGACAATTAGCTATTTTTTAATTGTTTTGTTAGAAGAGTCCTCATATGTTAGGAATATCAACAAAGATAAAGAAGTATATGGATGGGGAAAATGTTAGACCAGCGGTGAGGTAGACCTTGACATGCCCTAGCTAGACTGTCGAGGTTGTAGAGCTCGGTGCGGACGTCCGTGGTGACCCTTATCACTATCACAAGCATGGTGACCATATGTATTTAGAAACCTAATAATATCATGACGGTGATAATAACATAACAATCATAAACTTAACTTAACGGTTACATATGCTGAAGCAAACATAAAGGAAGGATGAATATGGTTGCCAGGAAATCCCTTAGCTATGATCA